CGGCTAACCGTTTCCTTAGACTAGGTTCTTGCTCCTAGGGGTAGTAGGCTCGGGGACCTTTAAGTAGCTCTTCGAGGCTAGGTTTGTTTTCGAATTGCCTCCTCTACTTTACGAATACTAAGCCCTTAAACTACGTTGCGAATGCCCTTAGTCTTTATAGCACCCCTCTACTTAGTAGTAGCCTTCCGAATTCGATTCGTATCGGCGATAGCGGTAACGGGAAGACTATTCCTAAGCGGAGCGTCCTAGCTACGAGTATAGGCAAGGGTATCTACGACTATAGCCGCCTCGTAATCGCTAAAATCTAGTTCTTCTTCGGCCTCCTCGATAACTCCTAAATCGTAGGGCCTCTAGTATAGTATAACTCGCCTAGTAGTAGTAGGGGCAGTAGTAGGGGTAGGAAGGCCGTTTCGAGTATCGTTTAAAGCGATCCCTCTATAGGGATTTCCCGGAGACCTTAAAGGTAGAGAGGGAAGAGTAGAAGGAATTATCGGAGCTAGGGCTCGAGGAGTCGGAACTCGAGGGCCTAGTTAAGCTATAGCACTAGGGGCTATAGTTCGCCTTAGTTACTAAGAAGGATAGTTAAATTGTTTTCGAAGGGCTTCTATTCTAAATTTAGGTAGGAAAACAATCTCCTACTAGTAATAGGCCTCGAGGAGAGGAAGTATAATAGCGAGCTTTAGAAGGGTAGGACTATTACGGAAGCGGAATAGGGTAGTATATAGTATACCTAGGGGCCCGAAGTACTACGTACGGTCTCGAATATAGCAGAATCCTTAGTCTTATATATACCGATAGGGCCTATAGTTTAGACGAAGGTAGCTTTTAGCTCCGTAATAGTAATAGCGACCCTCTATACTAGGGATAGATTGAAAGGTAAAGGTATCGATAGTTAGCCCTTATATAAACTAGTTGTTATATATCTAAGTTATAAGGGTGTTGTCGCTCTAGAGGGGATAGAGGCGCTATAGGGTATACGAATCGGTATTAGTATTAACCGGACCTATAGTAGGGCCCTTCTAATTATCTCGGGAGAGGATATAAAGTTTCAGGTCTTAGAACTACTTAATAAGGTCGTCGATACCGGGGTCCGTAACTAGCTTAAGGGCTACCCCCTATCGCTAGATATCTAGGGTAGGGCGTATACTTAGCATTCTTTTCTTAACTGTCTCTCGTAGCTCTTTTAAATAGCTACTATCGTTACTAGTAAGGAGCGAGAAGCCCTATCGGCTACGAGCTAGGTCGTACCTAGTACGATAAATCTGTTCGAAGTCGGTATAGGATTCCTTATTATAAGGGTAGATGCTACATTTTTCGTAGATCCGAGGTATAATAGTAGGTATAGAACCTCCTAAGCCCTTTAGAAATAGACGGCTCCTTGTAATATTATTAAGAAGCCTTCTCGGTATCCCTTTAGCGATGCTATAGAAGTTCTAGCAAAAGCGAAGGGCATTACTCTTAGCCGTTTATCTAATATACAGCTATTTAAGGTATTCGCGGGAGTTTAATCGAACCGCGATATCCTAGTTAGCAAACTCGCGCTTAAACTTCTTTAAGAAGGCTTCCTACGTAAGAGGCTTACTACCTAGGAGCCGAGCAACTCGGGGTCGGATGCTAGTTTTACAATTAGCTATAAGGAGCTTTACCGTAGTAGCCGTTTTAGCCCTTAGATAGTATCGCTTAAGGATAGTAGAAAACCTTTTAACAAAGTTAGTAGCGTTTTCTCTAGTAAAGAGAGGGTTCTTAACGGTCCCTAGGAGGGGCATCTACGGCTTTAAGTCCGAGAAGGCCTAAAGAAGACCTTAGAGAAGTTAAGGGGATAGCCCTCCGGTTACCTAGACAAGCTACTAGGGAACTTCTCGAGTACCGCCTTCCTAGGTAGTACCTCCTTAAGCCGCTTCTCTATTTTCTATACTAGTATCCTTATCGCTTCCCGAGGCCGTAGTTCTCTCGGCATCCGAGTTAGTATCGAGGTAGTTTCGAATAAAGTTTAGAGGTAGGTCTCGGTAGGTACCGGCATTAGAGGGGGCCTATAAAGGCGGCTCCGCCGGGGTAGGGTTATTATTATTTTCTTAGGAGCTTATTTCGTCGATAGAACAAACAATTTATAGAAGACGATAAACGATTAGAATAAATAGGAAGGATATAGTATCGATAAAATTAGACAGGTTACTAGGTATACTTAAGGTAAGGAGGGAGCGTAGACGGGCTATAGCGTACTTTATAGTATATATCGCGTCTGTGTCCTCGAAGCAAGGGGAGGGAGGGCGGTAGTCCGTATATATATAGAATAAAAGGGGGCGGCGAATATTACCTAGCTAGCTAGCTAGTATACCTACTATACCCGTTCTAGGCCCCCTTTATTCCTCTCTATTAATTTCTATTAACTCGTAGTATACCGATTACGGTACTGCGGAAGGGTCGTAATAGCCCGGAAGGAAGTTTTAAGTTAGGCTCGCGCCGATTAGTAGAAGGGATAGGGGGCTATCGACTTTTCGGGGTTCTTCGTATCCCTACCTCTAGTTTCTTATAGCGGGCTCTTAGGTTTCTTTCTATATAGGTCGTTTCTTATAAGGTCCCGCCTACTATAGATAGGTAGGGAGTCGTAACATTCGTAAACAGTATTTCCTTTTACTTTAAGTCGGTAACGGTATTCCTTTTGCTTTAAGTCGGTAACGGTTTATTAGTAGTAGGACGTCTCGATACTATTAAGGTCTTTTTAGCGGTAGTATTACATTAGTAGTATAGTCCTCGCTCTAGGCGAAGGCTATAAACGTTTCTTCTTAACTATATATATACCTGCACCTTTAAATAAATAAAGATAGCCCTACCTTCGGCTCTAGAAAATATAGGCGGGACGAGTAGGTCGTAGGTAGAGGTACATATATAGGGAACTATATACTATAGGCCTAGTACTTAGTATCTCTTAGGTAACTGCGAGGGGTCGGCGTAGCATTATATACTTCGAAGGGGAGGCGTTGTAAATATTAAAGAGAAGAGAATAGTAGTAGGGAGGGCTATATTATAGCTAGATTAGGTACACTTCCTATATCCTTCTTGCTATATATTGTCGTAGCTATGTCTCCTTATATTGTGTATATATATGTGTTCTGATTATAAAGGTAGTTATGTGTCTTCGGGGATATAAAATAAGGGAGAGAGGGTACAAGTATGCATACCTATACTAAGCCGGGTTTCCCTACTATACTATATAGCATCTTCCCGTATCGGAGTGAAAGCAAGCCCTAAATTCCCTAATCCTAGATTCTATAGTTTACAACGAATTAGAAATCTTAAAAATCCCTACCTCCCTCCTTCTTAGGCTATATTCGCTTTATATAAGCTCTTAAGTAACTTCCTTTATCTTATTTCTACGTATATCGGATCGGATCTCGGGTCTTCTAATTCTTAATATAGTATACTATACGTCTCGGACTGCCTATATCTATATAAGCTAAGTTTAGGGAGGAAGTTTTCGTAGAGTTAATCGATTTAGAGTAACCGCTTGCTACTTATAAAGAGACGAAGTCGTCTAGTAAGGTATAGTAGGATCCTTCTTAGTTCTTAGCACTTACTTTGCGATTTAAGTAGATTTGAGAGTCCTTAGTATAGTTATAGTATTTAGTAGTACGTGCCTGTAGGTATTCTCTCGCTACGTATATAAAGAAGGCCTCTACCTTAGGTCTTGCCTATCTAGTTTCTCGCTACTAGCTACCTATACGATTAAGGTTAGGCTAAGAGCCGTTAATATAGTAGGAGTAGCTAGATAACGAACTGAATCTACGACCTAAAAGAAAAATAAGAGATATTTTAGCTATTCGACGTTAATTACGTAGTTCTAGGATTATTCTAAGCTTTCGGAGTGGATTCGTTATAAGACTCTACCGGCTCCTAAAACCTCGACGACATAAACAGAGAACTAACCGTTGTTATATACTCCTTTTCTACGGCATTGAAGCTACGAGTCTAAGCCTTCGCTCTATTCCTCGAAAGCCTTCTCCTACGTCTTAAAAAAACGTTTACTATACGCGTGCGATTCGAAGAGCTATCTACTAAGACAAGATTTCAAGATTATAGAGCGGAGCGATAGCTGTCGAGACGGGTCCAAATTTGATATATACACTAGCATCGAATTCGATATAGCTAACAATTCAACTCCGCTTTTCAATCTAAGCAGTGTAAGCTAGGTCTCTCGTCTTAAGGATCCGGACCGACGTAAGGTAAGACTCTTCTTACATATCAATCTCGAAGAGATACAGATTTGCTAAGCGAACGGTTGTGGTACTTTCCAAACCCCTAAGTTCTGAAACTCTTGCAAGTTTAAAGTGTCGGCGCGGTCTATCTAGCTTTCTTCGACAGATTTTCGATGGCGACCGCTTCTCAATGCCGAATATGTAACCTGCGGTGATTTTGATTCATAAAGACTGATCTCCTTAGAGCGGCGAAGATGTGCGATTTAGGTCAAGTATGAAGTAGTCTGTTTCTGATCTAGTAGACACTGACCATGCGTTGCAGGTCACTTTGAGCATGGCGAGCAAGGCTGACCGACCCTAAATTCACCAAGTTATTATATCAACCGCGAGCCGATAGTGACTGCGCGGCCCAGCTTCTAGCCGTCGGGGCTCCTCGTAGTTGTATAATCTGGCGTTAAAATCCCAACGGTAGGTAAGCGCTTGCAGGATTTCCAGTTATATACGACGAAAGAGTTTGAGTTGGTTGTGACCAAGGATCAAGGACCCTCTAGTTTTGGTGGGTGAGCGATCTATCTGCATCTCTTAAGAAGGATGGGTTTCAGCCAGTCATCGGCCATCATGCTCCTAAAAACGTTGGGTATCATACAAAAGATTTTCTCTCCGTCCTGTAGGCCAATAGATATATCGCCAGCGCCATAGAAATGCCCAGGAAAATGAACTACGTCGATACCATAAACCTATACGCAAAACGAAAACAGTAAGCGACCCATTCATTCATTCAAAAAAAAAACCGCATCGAGATAGAACTCACCAAGCCCCACTAACCGTCAACACAAGAACAAGCACCGTCAAAATCCCCGCCCCAGCTCTATCCGCCGTAGTGATAGGATCGAACGTCACAGGCGTAGTCTGATCCGTGCCGGTGCCAAAACTGGCATTACCCTTTGACGTGCCACCCGTTTTTTCCGATACGGGTGACGCAGCGTCTTGGATGAGATTGGCTTGAATGATTGAGAGCGCACACATTTGCTGGCCGACACCGTACGTGCCGTCCCAGACGCCGTTAGTGGTCCATTTCGTGCCACAGGTGGTTTTGTCGTCGCCGCCGGAGCATTGGGCTGCGGCGGCTTGGGCGGAGGTCGCGAGGTCTAGTGAGAGGGAGGTGGTGTTAGTATGGATTTGTCTGGGCGGAGTGATGGGGAGGTGAACGGACATGGTTGGACGAGGTCGTAGAGCTCTGGGAGACGTTTTGTGGACTCGGCCATCCATCGTGCGAAGTAGGCTTTGAAACTGCGTAGAGACATTAATGTTCAGTAGCACCAGAGATCGTGTCCGCCTTACCTTTGCTGATCGGTATCGCAATTGTTCGTCGGCTCGCAGATCTCAAACATGACTTTGTTCTTGAAGAAGTCCGCTGCGGATGTTTTCCAGATACCAAGCGCTCTCTCATGCCACGTCTCGTTCTGTGTCACGTTGTACATGGTCGCAGCAGCGTTCAGCATCATGCCTGCGCTGTACGTCCACTGGTTGTGGTCAAGAGTCGAACAGTTGTCGCTAATGCTGGTACCATCGAATACAGCGTACTGTGGGCTGAGGAGACCCACGCCGTCCATCCAGTTCCAGATCTTGTTGGTCCAGTCTGCATACGTCTCGTTCGCAGTGTACGCATAAAGACGAGAAGCTAAGTTGAGCAGACCAGCATTACTGGGAGAATTCTTATAGTCCCAGCCAGCATTCCATTGATAGATCTGCCACCGCAAACCGCCTCCACAGTTCTGCGAGTCCCAGCGATTTGCCTGGCTGTTGAATACAGCTTGTGCTTGGGAGGTCCAACTCGGCTGGTCGGAGGGAGGGTTTGGAAATTTGTATTCGGCTGCGGTCATCGCGGCGAAAGCCCAGAAGATTTGATCGTCGTTGCCCTCGTCCTTGGTCTGGTTCTGCGGCATGAAATCGTAGGTCGGACTGAGCTGGAAGAGGAGTGCTGTGCTGACCTCATCATTGTACTTCGTGTCGCCTGTGTAGTACCAGTAGTCGATTAATGTTCCCATCATGGCTCCGGCTTCCCACCAGTAGTATGGCTGTGGTAATATGCCAGGTGTGCCTCCAGGTTGGTTGCCGGTGTACCAGTCCATCATCCTGCCGGCGACTGTGCTGGCGGCGGCTTTGACGGAGTCTGGAGCGTGTCAGCGCGTGCTCCACTCCCTGGCTGGACAAGACATACCGGTACTGGTCACGTCCAGCGTGATCGCAGACACCGCCGACCGCGACAGCATTGCTGCGGCGGCGGTACTTCGCGCCAAGAAGCGCATTACGACTGTACAAAGGAGGTGTGGGTGCCGCAGTCAGGATAAGCTTTTCACGTGGGCTTTGGGTGGACGGTTGGTTTGCTTGGCTCTCTTGGCTCTCTTGGCTCCGGTAAGTGAATACTGTTCCTGCAGTACTCGTTTCCTTTGCACGCTAAGATGAAGGAGTAGTGAATGAAGGCGATGATGAGAGAAATAAGGGATGACTTCGTTTGGTGTCCCTAATCATGAACGCGTCAGCGTCTCTCGTAGGGGCGCCATACCTCGCGGCTGGCGAGCGATTGCCTTTTCGGCTTGGCGCCCATCCTGCGCCACCACATCTTGTTTCCTCGGAGATGCGGCACAGGGACTGGAGGATTCGCGCGTTCCTGAAGATCCGTGGCGACCCTGCAATTCTTCGCTCGGTAATATATCATATCATACACCATCAAGCTTGCTCGCTCATTCATTTTCCTATGCCCCTGCTCTGAAGTGAGATTTAATGCCATCCCACTCTTCAAACGCCTCTTCGCATAGACCGGCTCTCAGCCAACGCAACTACGCCTCGTCCGCAGGCAGACTACGTCCCCGGAGAGCTTCGATCCTGGTGTACTAGGCGGCAAAGCAGAACAATCGTACCGTCGTACCACCTCCGTCCAAATTCGACCGCCTCGTTTGGTCACACTCAATTTCGCTCATCCGGACTTCGAGATCGTAATCGCAGTGCGCTCCTGACTAAGATTGGCCCCGACAGAAGATCTGCCACTCTGGTATGCAGCCCACTATTTCCTCGCCATTCTGCTGGCCTATGGTCGAATTTGTGCCAGGCTGTGTACAATTCCTTCAAATCCTCAACGTGCATCGACAAACCGGGCACGCTGACATCGCTATACTCTGAGTGTAGCAGGATCAGAACGCGACATATGTCCAATGCTTGACGCATAGTCACCGCCCTTGTGGCAACTCTCATCCGCACCTTCCGGTCGACAGTGCAGCTCTTCGTAGGCCTCGAGCGTCCAAGAAGACGCTTCCATGACGGGTCCTTCGCCGAAGAGATGAATCTAATGCTAGGGCAGAGGAATGTCAAATCGATGTTCATCCGCTCTGCTGGATCGGTCAAGGAACAGCGGCCGAACGAGCTCATCGCGTCTTCTTCCAATTTGTGCATGTCCCAAATGTCGTCGAGCGAGATCATGAGGGTGGGCTTCCTACCCGTGGTCCAGTTGAAGGTGGCGCCAGCCTTGCTCCTCAGAAGGCTGAATTCGCAGGCAAATGTGCCGCTAAATAGGTCAGATCTGACCGTCCGTTGGTGCAGCAGGTGATCTTCTCCTCCTGCCAGAGTTCTTCTCGGCCGCTCAAAGAAGATTCCAAAAGGAGCCCAGGCGGACGGTCGATAGTCGATTTCCCAGAATAGCGTCTTTTTCAATTGCTTGGAGCCTTCGATGGTGGCATGGAATGTTTTGCTGACGGAGTGACAGCGCAGGAGGTCTCGGGGCGGGAGGATGACGAGAATGTTCTCCAACAACTCGGTTATTCCGAAGACAGCTGATGTCGCCTGAGATGCTGCCATGACTGCGGCTTGGGGAGGCGTGCTTGTTGTCGAGTGCGTTGTTGTTCGGAGGTGAGGCGCGGAGTCGCGCAGCCAAAGCTCGAGTATGGATCGCCAAGAGGTGAGAACGCTCGCGACGCTGCGTGGACGTGCAAACGCGCATGATGACTTGGCGCCGCTGGTTCATGCAAGTCGGCAAGTGCTTTTTGGCTCTCTCTCATCCTTGACTTGCCAATCTATCATTGCCGCCATCGTGTTCGAGTGTAGGTGTCTATCCAGTGTCAGCCAAGGCAGCAAACAAGCGAACACAAATCAACAGAAATTCCTAGGTCAACGATTGCAGCTACTGACAAAACATCATCGATCGCGCATACTGAAGAGACGTTTCTCTCGGAGCAACACTAGACCTGACAGTACAAGAGCCTCTTGGATATGACTTCCAGGACAGTTGACACGAAGCTACAATCTTCAATCAATCGAAAGACACCTACAGAGCTCTCTAGATCGCCCACAGATATGTCTCTATGCTAGAAGCAGACCCTTCGCCGCAGGAATCCGCGACGAAGCCACTGTCCGCGCAGCATCCAATTATGACTCCAGCATACCCAGCAGCCATCTCGTGCTCTTATCGCTGCAAGCCGACCCTCTGAGGATAGGGAGTATGGAGTTTTGTTGTGCACCGCACCTGGCGACGACACTGCCATGGAGAAGCTACTGTCCGCGCAGCATTCAAGTATGACTCCAGCACACCCAGCAGCCATCTCGTGCTCTCATGCTCTTCTCACTGAAAACCGACCTCTGAGGAGGGTATGTGCAAAACTTGACCTCATTGCACCTAGCTCAGCAATACCACGGAGAACTCTTCATTCGATCCTCCTACTCTTCCGTGTAATCCAAGCGATGGAGTGCGAAATCTTTGCTCGGTATTTCTAGCGTTCTCGTTTCAGCGTCGTACCCGCAGGCAGTCGTGCGTTCAGCGTCGTCTCTTGCGATGCCGATGCCGATGCCTTACTTTTCATGGCGTGTTTCGAATCATGCTCCGGCATCAAACCGCTGAAGTGGGTAAGGGCGGCGGTGTTGTGGTTTGAATCAAATGCCAGCGGACAGGGGACAGAATTCTCGCTGGCAAAAGTTCTGGCGCGGAAATTGAAGATTGCACCGCAGTGCCGAAGACGACTTGTTGGCACTTAGATAAAACAACATCGTTCAAGCGAAGGGCCGATCAAATCGGTTTCTTGAGACGGGAAGAATGTGAATTTGAATAAATAGACACAACAGTTCTTCATTCTAAGAGTAAGATTAAGGCCTTTTGCTAACCAATGCGATTTCATCGTAGAACCACCGGCCATTTCTCCTCGAGCGCAGCTGATATACTGGTCTGAAGGTCTCGAGTCTGCCCTCCATGCTCCCTTCGGCACGGGATAGGCTTTGCAAAAAATTGGAAAGCTTATATTCGGTGCAGTGAATGTGCGGGCCAGCAAAAGAAGTGCTGCATCGGTGGCCTTGAAATGACCCAAAAGCAGTATGCATTCTCTTCGGCCGGAATCTCCTGCATCTTGACTGTATCCGTGATCGCAGGGCTCATCTGCGCGCATCGAGGCCGAACTGGCGGGGAGGGTAAGGAGGAAGCTGAGCTTGAGCATTGGAGGCAATGAGTAAGTCTAGATGCACAAAGTCTTCAAGCCAAGAAGACATGACTGCATGGATTCCTCGCGGTAATAATGACCAGTTTCCAGAGATCATGTCTTTCGCAGGATCATTCCCAGCTTTCGCGCGACACATCTCCTTTTTCTTGAGTCGTGCGTGCTAGGGAATCTACGCTTGAAACATCCACACAGCCGACACATTTCTTTCATCCCTTCGCTGCACCAGAGACGGCAGACTAGAGCTCATTGAACTTGCATGCGCGAGTGCAAGTCCATCGATCCTATTTGGCTGGTCGATACTACATTCGTGTCCTCCCTTCATGCTCCGCGGGAGTCTGTTCACCATCTATCTCCTCGGCGGTGAAGTCATCAGTTGCGCGACGGGGAGCGAAAGTGGTCTGGTGGCAGTGAGAGGAAGCGAGTCGTGGTTGGATGTGGTTTGTACAATAGGCTGGTCAAAAGTGGTGGCCGGGGACGGAGCTCCATATATACCAGATTGTCAATGAAGGATTCACAACGCAATCTTTGCCCCTACAAGTTCTTTTTAATATATCTTTTTATCTAGAGGAGTTATAGCTTAGTAATATAAGACAAAGATACTCTAATTTTTGTATAGTTTTTGAAAATAATAAAATTTCTAGTTGTTGCCTCCTAAGTTAATAAGCTATATAGCTTAAAGCTCTAAGTTAGAGATTTTAGAATTTTAGCGTTTTTTTAAGTCTTAATATACTATTTTTAGTAATATAAAACCTAGGCCTTATAGTTTTACTTAATTTAAATGTATTTTGAGATTTTTCTCGTAATATAGCCACTATTAGTTATATAATCGAGAATTTAAAACTTAAATTCTTCTTAGATTCCCTTTCGTATATCTATTTCTTTAGACGAGTTATAGCTTAGTAATATAAGACAAAAATACTTTATTTTTTATCTAGTATTGGAAAATTACTAAAATTACTAAAGCTATCTACTAAGATTAGCCTAAAATTCTAGAATAAAGATTTTAAGACTTTTGCGTTTTTTAAGCCTTAGTATACTATTTTTAGTAATCTAAACCCTAAACCTAATATTTTTACCTAGTAGGAATCTATACTAGAGCTTTTACTTTAACTAAGCTATAAATAGTCTTATAACTTAGAAAAGAATATTCTTAAGAATTGTAAACTTTAAATTACTAAGCCTACAATTCTTAAGAATATTCGCTTTAGGATTTTAAGACTAATAGTAAGCGTATTAAGATAAGAATCTTAACCTATATTTATATTAGGTAAAACTCTTAGGTCTAGGTTTTAGATTACTAAAAATAGTATACTAAGACTTAATAAATACTAAAATCTTAAAATCTTTCTTAAAGAGGTTTAGGCTAATCTTAGTAGATAGGTATAATAGTTTTAGTTATTTTCTAAAAATACTTCAAAGTTAAAGTATATTTGTCTAATATTACTAAGCTATAATTCTGCTAAATAAAAAGATAAACTAAAGAGAATATAGTAAGAAAACAATATTCCTTTCTAGATTGTATTACTAATAGTTGCTATACTAATATACAAATTTAAATTTAGATTTTTATAAGGTAAAACTATAAGACTTAGATTTTAGATTACTAAAAATAGTATGCTAAGGCCTAAAAAATGCTAAAATTGTTAAACTTCTAAATTAGAATTTTAGGCTATATAGCTTATAAATTTAATAGGTAACGACTATAAATTTTATTATTTTCTAAAACTAGATACAAATTAGAGTATCTTTGCTCTATATTATTAAGCTATAACTCCTCTATATAAAAAGATATATCAAAAAGAACTTGAAGGGCCAAAGATTACGTTGTTGTCGCTGCGGTCAGAAGTGCTGTATTGACAATCTGGTACGTATGGGCCTCCCTAGCCGGGCAGATCGATCGTGCCAAGGATATCCTCTTTGCGGCTGCACACTACACATCGATGACCTCTCCACTCCTCTCCACACGCGTCTCCCTGATCGTGCAGATTGAGACGCCGTTCACCTTGTATCAGTCGAGCTGGAGAATGTTAGAGCTGCGAGATCACGGCAACCGTATGACATCGGGGCGACAAAGACTTGCGGAGACCAGAGACCAGAGAGCCGATGGTTCCATCCCCTCCAGTCGACTGTGCAGACGAGATGGAACAAGCGATCCGTAGGCAGCTCGCTCAGGTTCAAACAAGATGCTATGACACATTTGAGCGCCCTTCGGAGGCCAAGAGATGCTCAGCGCTAGGAGGAGGGACACAGTGAAAATAATGCCGCCAGCCAAGGCACGATGGCAAACGGTTGCTGCACGAGCACGTCGGTGAGAGTTCTCAGCAGGATATGAATGCTGCTGCACGCTTCTTCCATCGAAAGTGCGTGGCATTTGCACAAGGCAAATCCCTTGCTGTCGCTATTCGTCTTGACGGACCGAACTCATGTCCACGTGGAGAGAAGGGATGAGATGCATCGCAAGTGCCTTGGGAAGAGTCACTCGTATTAGGCAGCATGGCATGTTTGGGAGGTAGGCAAGTCCACATGCTGGCGCACTGATCACGCTCGCCGCGCTTGTGTCGACCCTTTTTAAGCCACCGCTTTTCGATCCAGCCCTTCGACTTGACATCTCCTCCACCATCTCTCCTTCAAGCTGTGGAACCTGCCAACTTCTTGGGAGGAGAACAAGGAAGTCGAGCTGGTTGGAGATCTAGCTACTATGGCCCGAGAGAAAGAACAGTTCCTTGGCGATTACCAGGAGGAGGACACAGAGTGAACTCAGTCCTGAGACCCGGCAATAGCGTTCGAGGTCTTTTGCGCGCCATCAGCTAACGATCCTTCTTATAGAGATGCGCCATGGTGAGCGGCCAAAAGCCCATCTTTCCACCCCTTTACCTACAGATGACGAGCATCTTGCTTTCGAGACCACGAGTCTTCGCAAGCAGCCCAATTCTCTTTTCGCTGCACCAGCTCCGCCTACCACAATGGAGAGGCAACAGATCTCTGGTCAGGCTGGCAGGCTTCCAATTACGACAGATGATGAGACAACTCGTCAATTTCTCCGCACATGAACAGCGAGCCGGCATGCTCCGGCATTTCGCTCGCAGTCAACGCGTTGCCTAGCGTTTGGTGTCATTGTCAGAAGCATGGTCGGAAGCATCATTGGAAGAAGCACGTAACACATTGTGTACCTATCGCTTCTCCGCGTTTCAAATTCCGATCGAAGTCTCTTCTACCGTATAGATTTCTCTGGCCCTTCAAAAGAACGTCAAGGGAACATATGCGGTCAATGCGAGGGAGCGGAAATCAAACGACACACGCCAAAACGATCTTGTCACTCTCTCCACTAATGCTGTCCTTGTGTACAGATTTTCTCGCAAACTTTTCGCAAAACGACGGAGGTCCCTCCCAACTGCTGAAACCCACAAACAACACTCCAACACCTCTCACTCAGACATCCAACCACGAGGGATCACCATCATCATTCGTCTCATAAAGACTCGCAAATTCCACCTTCCGCTCCTGCACCACCTCCTCCATCTCCATAAGCTCATAACTCCTCTCCACAAAATGCCCCTCATCCACAACCCCCCTCTCAACAAAATACCCCCCATCACTCGCCCTCCTCTCCCGAGCCGGACTCGACCGCGTAACATCCCTACTCTCATACCTCTCCCGAAATGGGCTCGAAACCATAAGATCCGTACTCACGTACCCCCCACTCCCACTCCTCCTCCTCCTCGCCCCGCCCCCCTCCTTCTCCTTCTCATCATCCTCCACAACACTCTGCACCGCCCTCCAATACCTCCACCCATCCTCCATCGTCAACGAACAATGCCCCGCTTTCAGAAACACCTCCTTCCTCACCTCATACCCCAGCGCCTCCGCATCCTCCGCATGCTTCCCGATCTGCTCATGACCAATCCACCCGTCGGCTTTCGAATACAAATACAACCGCTTCCCCTCCTTGGTCGGGAACAAATTCGGATCATTGAGATATCTCCCCGTCTTCGTGGCCGTGTCGGGCAGAGGCAACATGACTTTGACCAGAATGTTCACGCCGTAGAAGGCGTAGACGGCCCAGGAGCCGAGCATGCGCATGATGATGTTTTTGGGGAGGTTGGATTTCGCGGCGCGCACGGATTGGGAGGTCGAGTATCTTCCCGGGGAGCAGTCCAACACCATGGCCTCCAACGGCACGTGCATTTTCGCGCGAGCGATTTCCCGCACCAGGCGCGTGGCGGTGTAGGCTCCTCCGTTGGACGCGACGTGGATGACGATCCCTTTCGTCTTCAGCACCTTCTGCAATTCGATGTGCCGCTTCACGACTTCGACCGCGGTGGCCAGATGCAAATCCTGCATCGGCGAGGTGGGGGATTCGATGAGCAGGATTTCGGCTTCGGGGTAGAGGTATTTGTATTTTTCCGTGTACTTGGCGATGTTCTTGGGCGTGGCGCCGCGTCCCGAACAGAAGATTATGAGGGGTGGGGATTGGATGAGGCTGCGGCTGCGACGCTTGTGGATGGGTTTGGGTCGATAGGTGGAGATGTAGCGACTGAGGGTCTCGAAGCCGGGGACGCCGGATTGGTTGATGAGTTGGTTTGCTTGTGAGGGATCGTGGCCTTGAGCTGCGCTGATCCTCTTGACCAGGGTAACGAGGCGTGCTGTTGACTGCAAGGACTCCATCCCGTTCGTTCGTTCGTTGATGGAGCGAGGTTGTGAGGTTGTGTTGTGAGGGGAAATCAGTCGGTCTGCGATATATGGGTATTGTTCACTGCCATCCCTTTCCAACAATCATTGTCAAAAGGAGGCGGCTCTGACGATGCATTTTATTTGAAAGTCCACATATTTAGACGTCTGACGGACATACCGGGTGCGGAAGCTAGTCGATCCGGCATGTGAAGCTTGGGGCTTACGATACCCTCCCCTCCCCTCCCCAGCTGGCTTGTACATGTGACAGGAAGTTTCGTGCGGATGAAAATCGTCACCCACACCGCAAACGACCGGAGACGGAGTCACGCAAGATATCCGACTGGTTGAGAGGAGGTTTCGTGCTGGTTCTGCTTTTCTTGGCATATTGGTGATGGGTGATGACAACTCTGCGGGACGACCCGGAAATCCGATCGGCGAGGGTGTAAGCCTCCTTTCTGCTTCATTCATTCCGGGTTGCGGACACCTGTGCTGATATGCTGAGATTGACGCTCGTGTGATGCCTGTGTGAAGCACACCGGTGGTGTTTCGAATGTTTCTTGCAGCAATGCTGGACCTGGTGACCTACTATAAGTTACCCCCGTTGTTGGTGCGGTCAGCGTCGTACATCCGAAACTCCGTTCGCAGCTGTATGCATGGTATTAGTTCTGCCCCGGTTGTCATTGATGACATCATGAGTCCTTGATGAAGCGCGAGAGATGATGATTGTTGTATGTACAAAACGCAGATCATGAAGCTCACATTCCTCCCAAGGTTCGCTGGGTTGGGTCGGAGCTGGGTCCTATAGGGAGCTTGGTCGGGAGGCGCCAGATTCACGCGGCCGCGGGTCGGAGGTGATGCGTGTCCAAAATGAAATCTTCGTATAATAGTATGCCTTTTGATTAGCATCTTCATACTTCTGGCTAGCGATTTCTGTGTGCACATCCATCTGGCTCGCGATTATTGTGGAGCCCAACTTGTACCAGATTGATGAGATGACCGCTCTTGCTACGATGATTCGGCGGGTTATAGGTAGATGTGTCGAAGTATTGCAATGTGAAAAAGGAAAAAAGGACTTGAAAGTTGATTTGGACTTGGCGACAAGCTCTCTGATTACTTCGTTACAACTCCTGAAATTTTTTGTATGCTCGCTCGTTCAAGCAATACCGCCTGGCCCGGCTGGGTTCAGTAGATTATGTCTATGCTGTGATATGATCGGAGAAGCGAAGGTCACGGAGTAGGCGAGGTTCGCGACCTACGTCTCAAGTGGAGGGATTTGGGCTGCATGGGAAGGAATATGAAGACCTGGAGGATAGCGAGGTGCATGGTACTGTGAATTTGGTTGCGTGTCAGCAGGGCGTTTTCCATAACCGCCGGGACTAAATAAGGAAGAATTTCTACTTTCTTTCTTTCTTTCTTTCTGTTCATCAACAAACAGCTGTCGTTGTGATAGTCCCTCGACTTCTACATGTAGTGTCGAATATCCCTCAACCCCAGCGAACACAAGATGGTAACACCACCAAAAGCGATACTAATCCAATAAGGCCACTGATAAGCCTTGGCGAAGGCCATCTGCAGATTCGAAATCACGACATCGTACGCGACATCTTTCCGCATAACGAGGGGACTAGTGGCGATGAATTCGCGGAGGTGATTGTATTGAGCTTGACCGCCGAGGGTAAGGAGATGGAAAAGGGTAGGGTAATCACTCGTAATACCTGCGGCGGCGACTTCGAAACCGGCGGGGATGACGTACTCGGTCGAGAATTTGTGGTAGAAGACGTTGTAGTATGCGGTGAAACCTATAGCACCGCCGATGTAGCGGATGGAAAGGGTGATGGCGGTGACGGTGCCGATGAGTTCGGTTGGACAGACGATTTGGGCGATGATGGAGCAGGGGATTATGACTGCTCCGACGCCGATGGAAGCGAGGGTGACCATAGCGTAGACAGTTGGGTTGAGGTTATCGGTGCGGGCGATGGAGACGGCGCCGACGAAACCTGTCATGAAGAGGGACCAGAAGATCATGAGGGCCTTGGTGCGGCCTTTGGTGACGCCGAAAAGGACGAGACTTAGCACGGCGCCGAATATGATGCCGAAACCGATGGGGAGGGTGCGGATGCCGATTCCGAGGGGGTCGTTGCCGTACATGTTATAGACTTGCGTGGGCCAGAAGAGGAGCATGACGAAGAAGTTGCCGCCGCTAAAGAAGGTCATAAGAAGGACGAGGATCATGGTTCGTTTGTCCTTGGCGAACACTCCGGCGGGACACATGGGGAAAGGAGCGAACTTGAATTCCCACACGAAGAAGGCGATGATGATGATGATTCCGAGAATGAATGGGACTAGGACGTGCACACTGCCCCACGTGTACTGAGCAGCGCCCCATTGCATGCCCATCATGAAAAGCGTGATGCCGAAGGTGCTGAGAATACCTCCCACGTAGTCAATCTCCTTGGCGATCTCCCTGGCCGGACGAGCGTGTGGACTCTTGGCCGGATCGCGGTAGAAGAAGAGAACCAGGATAAGACCGACGAAATTCCAGATCCCAACCAGAAGTCCAACCCATCTCCAGTTCGACATGCGAGCGATAAGCTGCGCCCACAGCGGCGACGGACAAAACGGCAGAATCGTAAACACGATAAATCCCACATACGCACCCCTCTTCCTCACAGGCACAATCTCCGAAGTTCCCGCCAAGGCAATCAACTCATTCAGTCCCGCCCCAAGTCCCGAAATCACCTGTCCACCAATCGCAACATTGATGTCGTGGGCGGTCGAAACGACGATCGGGCCGATCAGTAGGCACACCTGTCCGAACGCGGCGACGTATTTGCGGCCGAAAATATCTGACAGCGCACCCACGAAGGGACATAATGCGGAATTCGGGATCAGATATCCGATGACCATCCACAGCCATCTTCCGCCCGCACCGCCGATTTCCGAGTATATGTCTGGGAGCACGGAGCCGTAGAGGTAGAGGGGGATTTGGGAACCGATCCAGAGGAAGGACATGGCGAGGAGGGATGTGAAAAGTGGCCAGCACATCTGGAACGAATCAGTATCGCGATTTGGCAGTGCCGCATCGATTCTCCGAAGGATTCTTCCGAGCATACCTCGTGGTAGACATTTGGATCGTTTCTGTCGTCGTACTCAGCAGCAGCCGCCTCTCCATGGTCGCCATACCCGATCTTGGCCTCCATGGTGTGTGCAGTTTCGATCAAATCGCGCGAACCTCCACTGCTATTGTCGGCATCTCGAAATCCAGCTTCGGCGTGCTTGCTGTGATCCGCCATGTCGATGCTGTGTATGTCAGAATATCGATCAGAACGACGACAAGCAGCCCATCAACCAAACAAAGAAATAGCTGAGGTGGACCGTGGGCCAGCACTATGTTATAGCGTGTGAAGCCATGTCTGTCGAAAACCGCGTGCCTCGGTGCAGAGGGTGTCGTGGCAAGTCACAGGATCGCGTATCCCCACGGAGAAGAAGCTTAACTCTTGTGGCGCCCCGAGTCCCGTGACGCTCGGCCAATCAGGGCGGGGATGTTGATGGGCTGCTTCCGCTTTGGGATGGTCGGCCGGCCGTTGAGACAAAGCGAGACTTTGGACGGCGCACATCCCCCTCACTCCACCACTTCCGGTTCTTTTTGCCCAGGTCGAACGCCATCTCGGCCTTCTCACGCAGCAGCGCACTTCCCATTGGAGGAATCGTTTCATTCACTTATTCTGAAATGTACGATGTGATGGTGCATGTATAGATAGATAGATCGATCGACAGTATGGCCACTCGCCACCACGTTGCAACAGCTGAGACAGGGGTCACGTCTCGGTCCGGTGGTTGGTGTACGACTCTCTCGCACTGACAATCGCAGGGCAGGGCAGGATGAGTTGCAGACAAAGAAAACTGCTGAGAAATGAAAGTGTTCCGGCCAATCTCTCCATATCGCGAAGTTTCTCCATTCGTGTGGCGGTCCAGACTGCTTGGTACGTTAAAGCTGGTCCGATCCGGTGGCGCCGGAATGTGCCTCGTAAGTACATCAGATCCACATGCCTCGGAAGCCCCAGAATTTCCCCGGAAAACGGTTGGGAGCTGTGGCATGCATGTGAAGAGACCCCGGAGTGCTGGCGTGCTGTACCGTATAGCCCGAAAAAGACGTTAGAGAGGAAGTGACAAAGAAAGCAGACTGAGGAGTCGACATGCTGAGGTCTGTGGTGGAGCCTCCCAAGCGCATCGGGATCGTAAACTTCGGGACGCTTAACTTACCGCAAAATGGCGCAGACAAAGACCAGCAGCTCGTGGCCACCATGCCTTCTTGCTGCGAATGCAAGGGAAGACATGATCAGTTGCTCACTATAACGGGCGCCATCCTGCCGTCTTTGTTCGCCATGCGGTCGTACCAATCTTCGAGGTCAGCCCTGCACTGTGTCTTGTCGGCCGGAGTCGCGCTGTGGCCATGGTAAAGACAAAGATTCGTTCGCCAGTCCGGCTGAGCTCGGGAGCTTTTCTTGGCCTTTCGCAGCATCGGTCGTACCAGTTCCGCATTGAACTCGCCCGGGAAGTGGTCCAAATTCTCGAGACCATCGAGGTCTTTGGTCCAGCACCAAGCGGCTTCATCGATGAGAAATCTGCAGAGCGGTGAGTCGGTGGGCAGAGAAGAGAAGGCAATGTCGTGTCGACGACATCTGGATCGGCGGATATGAACGAATAGCCCTCTTCGCGCAGTTCTGCTAGGTTGGTTATGACGGAGTGTTGAAGACCTGCTATGCCTCGACGATCGGCAAATATGTAGAGATCCACGAGCGAGCGATGCGTCCGCGCGACAATGCCAAGAGAAGCGATCACATCCTCTTCATCTTCAGGACCGCTACCACCGGCAGAGTCGTCCAGCGAGAGCGCCTGCACGCCAGAATCCAGTTGATTAGCAGTATTGTGATTCGTGTTTCGAAGTCTCGCCAACTTCCTGGCGATATGGGATTGATAGCCGGCGTAGTCGACAAGGTCGTCTAAGGAAGCTGACGGGATTCTGCCGGTATACAACCAAGCCAGGAACAGTGCGAAGTCTTTGACCGATTCCTCCCTCAGCTCGACTCGGTTTCGTTGACTTTCGATGAATCCCCCTCGAAGGCGCCTCGGAAATGGCTGGAGTGCCGACAGATCAGACCTTTGTGCACAGTGAACTGCAGCCCCTCTTCTCCGATATCTACGAAACCAGTATCGCTGTACAGATCACTGTTGCTGCGTCAGCTGAGGACATCGCAAAGTGCGTGTTGCGCCGCATTCAGCCTGCCAGTCAGAACGTACAAAACCGTGTCGTGGAAGAAGAACTTGGCGCACTCAGTCGCGATATCAGAGATGGAGGTATATGTAAGCTTTGGGACCTTCGCCTCGAGTGTCGAAGCAGGGCCGCTGGTAGTCGGACTCTGGCTTCGTGATGTGCTGTCTGCAGTTGGTGTAGGAGCCTTGGACTGGTTTTCACTGCCGAAAACGAATGGCGCGGAGCTCGTGGTCGTGGCTCCAAAATCGAACAGAACTACTGCCTTGCACTGGCCGGCGTCCCTGTTGCTGCCGCCACCAGACGACATGGCTCATTCCACCGCTGCTCTCGGCAGTCCTGCGCCGTCGCCGCCGTGAGCAATATATTGCAACTATGAGCATGTCTGAGGCGAGGGAACCAGCTCTATTTGTAGGGTGGCAGGGCGGGCGGCTACAATGCTTGCAGAAATGCCAAGAAACGACAAGGGTTGAGGACAAGGTCACCAGCAATTGATGTCTACTCATTCGCTAACTACAACGTGTCTGCATGATGTGCATGTATCCCTCTTGAAACATCTACTCTTTCTTATTCGCCTCAGCCTCAGCCTTGGTGTGCTGCTTCGCGAGCCTATTCGACTCTGCCTCCAACTTCTTCGTCTTGCCCGAGATTTCTGGAGCGTATGGGTTGGCAGGCGGGTATGGCTTCTCAAGAACCGCGTTGTTCGTGTGTATGACCTCCTTCACAATCTTGCCGAGGTCCTTCTTGGACATCCATACATCTCTCTTCTCCTCCAGTGCGGTCACGAGCTTGTTACCAGCAACCACAGGCTGAGTCTCACGCATTAGCCTGGGTCGTGAGGGAAGTTTTCGCGCTGGTGCTCACAATGTCCGCAGCATTCTTGAGCTCTAGTTGAGCTCCTTCGTCATCGAAGTCGGGGATGTCCGATGGTGCACCCTCAGCAGCCTTGACGACAATGTCTCGCTTCTCCTCGATCTCCTGGATGACTGTATTAGCATGGCGCTGCCTGGCGTGACTTATCGAAATCTGTACCTTGTAGGGCCCTTCCAGGTCATCACCTTCATTCGCAGCCTCAATCAGTTGCGTGATGGAATGCGTCGCCTCAGCGACCGTCTTGAAGAGTTCTTCCCACTTTTCGGCCATTTTGAAGGTTGATGAAGGTAACTGCCTTGCTGTGTTTGTGAATAAAGATTCGATTGACGAAGAGGACAAGAATTTAAATTGAGAGCTTTGTGCGTCTGGACTCATCCAAAGCAAGGCATCGCGTCAGGGAGGGGTATATGCAGGTTGATCTCACGAGGTGATGATCTTTGTGGACCTAGCCAAGATTGAGTTTGACTCTATGCAGGAGTGCAGGTTATACCATTGACGTGTGCGTAGTTGTGCAAGAAATGGTGCCTACCTTGGTGCCTGTGGTGCCAATTCAATGACACTCATGATCAGTGTGGAATGCGAGTGTTGCTGAAACATGCACACACTCAGTAGATTTTACACATCTCAGTACCAATATGACAGCTGGGGGAGACCTGAGTGCATGCTCAGACCGCGAAAGGTGCCCGCAAGACTTAGGCCGGGCGAGGCGCGAAGTACGATGAAGACGCAGGAGACGATGCCCAGCTTCGCGGGCTGCTCAATATTCTACGCTCTGCTTCAGCGCAGACGTATCCGGCCTCGCCTGGTCTTCTTGACCACCAAGGCCTGTGTATTCATCACGGCGGTTATCCCACAAGATGCCACCCGAACCGCAACAAGCCCAGATTGCAGCTGTCAGAGCCTGAAACGCTTGATCGTGAGCTGCTCAAATCCGTCCTCTCCATGCTCTTGTGTAGATACTCTTCAGACAGCTCCTCCCGCCACTCTGACATTGCATTGCCATTTGACTGTTGCGTGCAGTCGACGCTCAGTACATCGGTACGCGGGATCGAGCACGAGAGCTGTCTGTTCACGCCGAAGATTCGTATAAGCTGCGGTCTTTATTCGAAGAAATGTTGCGCTCGCTAGAACTATGCACGGAGTTGCAGGTTGTATGTCGTGATATCGAGGATTTCTCATGGGTACTATTGCAGGCCGCTATAATGCTGGGCGAGGAGAAGATGTCAGCCTCAGGACGGGGAGAGGGAGAGTGTTTGAGTGCATCTGCATCGATTTCGGACCGCCGCCAATTTGGGGACATCAACTAGCTGCCGCGCTGCCGTGGCCACTCGGCGGCAAGCTGCAAGTGATCCATGATGGTGGCGATTTCGTTCTGTTCCGGTAGGATCGAATGCATAGTATACAGCAGAAGACTCCTCATACTCGATTGAACTTCCATACGAACGCTTCCAGCTCTGTATGAGAAACTCCCCCTGACCGCTCAATCGCCCGCCCAAGATCGACAGCCTCAGAATCTTGACCTCCAAATTCTGCCTCGCTGGTGGACTGTGAGACTATGTTACAGAGATACTCCAATAGGCCGCAACCCGCGCGTGATACCATTTTCAAGACGATTTTCAACACTTGTTGGTACCCTCGCTGTCGCCAAGCGGCCAAGATGTCGACACCAACCCTAGCCCTACCTCCTCTCAGGCGCTCCGAGTGTTGTAGATTCTTCTACGTAATTCTGTATCCTTAGGCATCGACACTAACTATATTGGGTATGGAGAAAGCTATAGCGGAGCGCCTAAAGTCAAACCGGGCTACCTCTATATACCTAATTATTATTCAATTTACGAAGATTAAATACAGCGTCGCAACTACGTAAAATAGCGGTTTGTATCCGCGGGCGTAGTTGTGCGTTTTAATATAATCTGTCAGATTGCCTATACAAAGTAGTCGCGAAAATGTTAATAGAAGGATTAATTCTTAGTCTTCTAAGACGAGGCGATTATTATTCCCGTTTACTATCTACCCTACCTAGTGTTACTTACCTACAAACGGCATATACAGCGCTAAACAAAGCACGTGCGGTCCGTCGCATTAACTACCTCTCTAATCTCCGTACTTTAGAATGCCTAAAAAGTGTTACTATTGCCTCTATCTCGCTATCTAGGGCTACGCGCTATACTCTTTGCTATTTCTTTCTACTATTATAGCGACTATAACTGTCTAGCGCTCGTATATATATATATACACATACGCGCGCGCGCGCTAGCTACTTCGTATATGTTCTAAGTTCGACCTTGCTATCGCTACTTCCGCTACCGCTACCGCCCCGCCGTATCTATCGCCGATAACAATGCCTCTACTATAGTCTAATATAAGCGAGAAGTAGCGCCGCGCCTAGGTAAAGAAAGAGAAGAAAGTAGCTTCGAAGAAAGCAGCTTCGAAGAAAGACAACTAGCCTATCGGACCTAAGCTACTAGGTCGCGCTACCGTTAGTCGAGAATCGCTAGACTTTAGCTATTTGCTACTAGTCGAGTAGCTAGCTAGAAAGAGTGAATATAAAGCCTAGTTCTAGCAGCGCTACGATAAGATCTTCGATCCTACGATATTACTTAAGCAAGTATAGCAATTAGTCTACAATACGATACGTACCCTAGAAGCTGTTAATATACATCGCGATATCGTTACCTAAGGACTACGAAAGGTTCTCGATAAGATGTATCTAGGTAAGGGCTATATACTAAAGGAATCCTAGATCTATAGTGTCTAGGCTCTCGTATTTGCCTACTCTAATATAATAATAATAGCGAAGACTAGCGAAGGCAAGAGTTTGCCTTTTTAGGCCTTTAGCCTATTAACAGGTATAGTGGTTATTAAGATTACACTATTAAATCGTCTCGGTAAGGAGCATATAGAGGATGTACGCGAGACTGCTCGATAAGCTAACTACCTAATTAATATAGTTAATATTACCGCAGAGAATAAGAGCATAGATCGTAACCTGTTTTAGAAGATTATAGATAGCAAGGTCTACTATATTATCCTTAGTCTAGAAACTACAGCTAGCGAGGACTTCCGAGCTATTATTCGAGACCTAAAGGCCCGGGCTCGAATTAGTTTAGTTATAATCGACGAGATATACCTAGTAGCGAAGTAGAAGGAATTTCGTAAGGAATATGCCTAGATCTTCTCTCTACGGAAGCTGCTACGCACCGATACGGTATAGTTAGGCTGTTCTGCTACTAGTAAGTAGATCGAGCTAAGCTAAGCTGAACTGAACTAAACTAAGCTAAGCTAACTATCGCTAGTGTCTAAGGAAACAGAGGAATTTGTAGCTAAGAATAGTAGCTTCCGACCTCTTAGAAATGAACCGTACAAGACTAAGGTTCTCCGCAGTAGTATTAATCGACTAGACACTATATACATCCTACGCACTATTAATAAGGACGAGCTTAGCTGCTACGACTACTTATACTTCGTAGTTAACAATAGCGTCGGTCTAGAAAAGGAGGCGACACCTTAGGGCATTAAGAAGGCTCTACTATTTATCGATAGTCGGAAGTCGGTCTAAGAGCTCGCTAATACTATTCGTAGCTAGCTTATTGCCGCGACTACTAAATGTACCGATCCGAAGAAGCGATATACCTAGGATAACAAGGGCGTTAATGTATATACTACTGTCTTATTCTATACTAGTAGTATAGCTAAGCGCGACTAGACCCGTCGATATAAGCAATACAGCCGTACTATAGATAGCCCCGATAGTCTATCGAATATTCGCATTATAATCGCGACGACTGCGTTTAGCGTCGGTCTAAATATTCTAGATATCGAGATTGTCGCCTAGGTTAAGTATCCGATTACTCGAGACATTAAGGATCTAATGCAGCGGCTTAGTCGTGTTAGTCGTACCCTTCTATAGCAGGGCAAGCGAAGTGTAGCCTTAGTCTTCTTACTATACCTAGTTAATAATAGCAAGAAGCAGCCTCGCCCGGACTCTTATTACTCGGCGATTCGAGTTAATACTCGAAAATCCTAACAGCATCGCTATACGCTAGGCCGTTCCTTAGGTCTATTACAATTATAGATCCCCGGAGAAGATACTAAGGGAGACGGCGATGCGAGTGCTGCTAGCGATATAGATACAGATATAGATGCCGGCATAGATCCGTAGTATTAGACTAAAGTAGAGATAGCTGCCTGCGAGAAGATTCCAAAGATCTAGATACATTTCTAGAACGATCGATATCGAGACTATAGTATCTGCCCTCGCAAGGTAATCCTCTAGTACCTTAGCGAGGATAAGGTAATATATCTATAAGACCTACTATCGAGCGAGCACTGCTATAATGCCTGTAACCCTGACCTAGATCTCCTTTATAATAGTAGGCTACTAGTAGAAGCTATAGGTCCGATCTTCCGTAAGCTAGGAAATAGGACACGTCCGGCTATTGCCTTCTAGAAGCTATAGGCGTAGTTGTCTTCTAAGAATAACAAGTACCCGGAATAGACTTATCGTTATATATTTAACCTCCCGTTAAAGACTATTCTAGAAGACCGAAGACTCTAGAGTATATGCAATGTATTTACTGCTGCTAGCTAGTTCGAGTAATAGGAGAATATAGTCGTTAATTAGCGGCTACTTAAGCAGAAATCGGTAGAGTTTATCGACTAGTTTAAAGCTCTAAATATCGACTAGCGCCTATTTGCGTTATATAAGCTAATTAATGAGATTAAGCGGATTAGTACGAGTGTCTTTACTAAGTAGAAGGCTAGTCTTAACGCGAAAGCTAAGAAGCGCGCAGACAAACAATAAGCTATCGCTACTACTGCTTCTGCCGCTACTAGACTAATATCTAGTTCTTAATCCGCGGCCGGCCGATTATTGCTAAATCCTCCGACAGTATCTCTAGCGCAGCGCCTTGCTATATAGAACGCCGCGCGAAATGCCGTCTAGGCCGGTATTACAGAGTCCTTACGCAGCGAGGCAGCGAGAATAGGTCTTCGTACAAATTAGATCGAGAGAGCGACTGCTACTGCTTCCGGTCCTAGTGCCGGCCCTCGCCTACCTAGTCGCATAGTTAAGCTAAGGGTAGTACTTCTAGGCAATCTAGCCTCCGCATTTCTACCCGCTTCTACCGTTGCTACTAGCACTGCTCGTAGTCTAGACGATCCGCGTAATAAGCGTCCTGCCTCTATAAGCCTAGTAACAAGCTAGGTACCTCGATATAGAGCGCGCCGGATTAATTAAGTTAAATCGGAGCGAGCTAAGAGAGCCGAGC